GGATCAAATCCTGCAGTTTGCCTCAGACTTTAAGTGGGAGCTTGAGAGAGATTTCCTTTGAGTTAGGTGATCCAGAAGCCTTCCACAGCTATCAGAGAGGATCAGTTCAAGGCATGATCAGGTTACCCTAAGGGTAAGGATTTGTCCTTGCTTTAGTTTTGACCCCTTCAACCACTAGGTATGTAATCAAATACATTTTTTCCCTACTGTTCAACTTGCCTTTCTTGTTTACCCTTGAAGATGTGATGATCCAATGCACTTGAGAGAAGTGACTAAACAGATTGAGATCTTTCAGTTTGTGTATAAATATTAACTGTCAAATCAAATGTTTGAAAGCTGATCAATTTAGTGTTTGCTCTTCCTCTGTGATCTGAACGCAAAGTGAAGAGTTTAACATGTAGAAAAGCAATATGAAGGTTAATAAAGATATTTCTCGTGTTTCCAAATACTGGGAAAGTTTTCAGATTAAATTGTGAGTTACTCTGATTGGTATAAAGAGTTAAATTTCAAAATTAAGGGATTGTGACTTTACTTTTTTAATTCAGGCATGAATGCACTGTGTATCACATAAGGCCAGTGGTCTGCTCTGTGAAGTCCAAGTTGTGTGTGTAAAATAAAAGCTCATTTGAGTAGTCTTACAAGCCTAATGGAGGCATCATCTCAGCTTTATAAATAATGTAAGTTGTGTATAATGTGGAGTCCCCAGGGACTGCAGAGAAAGCATCATTACCAGCCTTTTCAACCTGCTGGAGATCTTAAATTGATTTACAGCACTGAACTGGTGCAAAATGATACATCAGGATGACACGAGGTCAACCTGTAAAAGTCTATGATGTGAGCCCGTTAGTTCAGTCATCATAATTAAACCATATTATGAGGGCAGCAAAGCAAGTATCTGTGACATGTCTCATTGTGCTTCAGATATGGGTAGTTTAAGAATCAAATAGAGAGAGCACCATGCTTATTACTTAAGTTATGCAGAGTTGTTGGAAATACGCTTGTGGCCCTGTGAAGAATAAATGCTGAACTAGTTTAGGTTGACTGTTAAACTCTTCTTCCAGTCATTACAGACTGAAATAGATGAAGGCGTGTGCAGCTTTTGAGGTGGGGGGAAGTGGCTGAAAGTGAACATCTCTTAACTAAATGGTGTATATCTTTTTTCAAGGCTCAAAACCAGCTAGGCTTTACCTGCTGACTGTGCTATGAGATATCAAGGCAAACAGGCGAACAAGCTGATTGGGGTTTTTTTACTGGTATTTTTGTCCTACTAATGGCTGTAACTGTCTGTTGAAATGTTTCTATAGATCTGACTTCTTGTATAGGACAGAGCATCTTAGTTGTATCTTGAACTATATGATAAAATGTATTTTAGAACAGAGGCTGCATTTCTGAATATGGGTTGGCATAGGTCACGCTACTTTCCTTAGTGAAGGCAATTGTGGTTTAAGATTCGTGTTTCTGCTCTAAAGAGCTTAGAAAGTAGCATGCCACAGATAGTAAAATGTCCACTGTATTATATATTAAATATCTTGGGTCTTGCTATTTATGCTGATAAAATCACCATGAAGTGTTTCAGGAAAATCCTGCTAAAACTCCTTTTTCTTTTTCGTTCTAGTAGACGGGGTGTTACTTAATGATTTGAGAGTTTTGCCTGTATTAGTGGTTTAACCAACTCTTCATACCTGGTTTGGTGTAAACTCAGCATTTGAGTTTCTCTCAGCCAAGGGAGAAGCATCTTACTTTTACGTAATAATTTTTAGTCTCAAGTGTAGCCAGAAAAAACCTAATTTCCAGAGATATGAGAGAGGCAAAGAAAATAAGTAGTCAGTGTGGTGAAAGGTTAGCCTTCAAGTTCAGCTACATCTCAACACAAAGTACTTTAGCTAAGGTGCTTTCTGAGTGGTGTAAAAGAATTAAGCTTGCTTTTGGATGCAGTGTGATATTAAGTGTGGACGTGGAGCTCTCTTTTACTGTGTTAAGATAGATGAATGAAATGGTGTTATTGAAAGGAGAGCCATAAAACC